ATTTTTTGTATAATTAATTAATTTAAATGAATGTTTCTAATAGACACATTTATAACAGAACCTCAAGTAAACTACATGTTATTTTGTTTAGTCATATACAGGTGGGAGCTTTTTCAATTTATTACTCAGAACGACTTATTAGCCTACAACACCTTTAAAGACTTATTCAGGGAAGTACAGCAGGATGCAGGAAATTGTTGAGTATTATTTTAGGTATAAAATATCATTATTGTAATGCTTGTAATGTCCATTTATAGTCTTTACACAGCAGCTTGGCTCCTTAAATGTTTAAACACCAGCTAATTTCAAGACGCTGACGTCACGTGGGTCACCCGCAGTGTAAGACGCTCAAAGCTCAAGACGCTCAGATAGACGTTCGGTTTGACGTTCAATCAGTCGATCGTTCGAACGTTTGATTTTAGCATGGAATACGCTTCCTATATTTCTCTGTTCACGCTCCACTTCATCTGCCAGTGAATTCAACGATCTTATCAGATCTCGAGCCGCCATGTTTCAAACGATCCAAACGTAACACGCTTGGGTGGGCGTGGTCAGCTCGGAATGCATTTTCAAATTGAATTTTGCTACAAATATCCCACGGCGTCATGATGAAAATGCAATCCTAAGTGTTCTGTTAGTCTAAATGCATTTAGGACAAATAGCATTTAAATGATCATTATGCTACCATTTCTGCTTGGACATTTTACACATATCAAATCAATTTGTGTTATACATTTTCATTGTAATTTCGCAACTTATAAAGCGTTCAAATTTGCATGCAATTTACATATTAAGACTACTGTTGGAAATGGCAAATGTAAATTATATAATTTAATTTTCATTTTACTTTTGCACCAAACTTTGCACGTATGGGTAATGGAAAATGTAAATTTAAATACAGAAATACAATGCCATTTTGAATATTGCATTTTAAATTGAATTTCGCTACCTATATGCTTCCATAAATATGAAATAGATTACACTTTCATGAAAACGTTTTGCAGCTGGTTTGTAGAAGTTGGCATTACACAGTTTGTGTTTGTTGCTCTCGTTTGTCTTCAGCGCGCGCTGATTCACTGAATCATTTTACGAATGATTCTGTTCAGATGATTCGGATTCTCAGTTTCTCTCACTTCTTTCTCTTACTTGAACGATGTACTGATTCACGATATCGGGAGCGAAATGAGATGCACCTTTTCTGTTATTAATATGAGGATGCGCTTTACTCACTAAAATAACGTAAAAAAAGGTATTACAACATTTAAGATTGATTCATTTACTTTATGTAGCTTGTAAATACGTGTAAATTGATAGAACAGTTTGCATTGATTAAAAAACTTATGCACAAACCTTTCTTCAGCCAAATCACAACAAATGCAGGAGCGCCGGCGCAGCTTTATGATGTCACATCGCCAGACCAAAATAAAAGTCCCGGTTCTTCTTCTCTTGGTTAATGGCGGATTGCAAACAACTTTTAGGTGCATACCGCCACCTACTGTACAAGAGTGTGTAACATCATGTCATTTTAAGTGTTCTCATATTCTGCTCTTTAACCCTGTGTATTTAAGGAATGTAAATAATGCCTTCCTGGTGTTCCTTATCCCTTCTCCCTCTCATTCTGATCCCAGTACAATTTTCACAATTCCTTTTCCCCATTAGAAACAAGGTGCTATTCAGTCCTGTGTGATCCACTCTCAGTCTCGTCATTAGGGTGATATCAGGTAAATTGGGCCACTTTTTGGTTAATCGCTTGGGACACTAACAAAAAACCCATGTATGACATTTAACTGTGTTCTTATGATTAATAAGGACTGTTTTTAATTTTTTTGTGTTGTATTGATGTAATAAAATATAATTGTTCAGGCCCTACAGGTTTTGAAATATTTGCTGCCCCACATTTTTTGAGATAGCAGTGTTCAGTTAAAATGGGCCGGCTGATCAGCAAAAATGGGCCAGTCAAAATGCAAAGTGAAATAGAGACATTACTGATAAAACACATTTTTTTAAATAATGTAACAGTGTAACATTGCATTTAAATTACATTAGAACATCAATTTGAATTACATTAAAACATCAATTTCAATCAATTTCATCAATAAAACATACATTTAATGAAAAAATGTAACGATAACAATAAAAAGTAGTGTTATGGCAACAGTTTAAAAGTTAACAGCCAATGACTGCAAAGAATTAGAACAACTAGTGTGTGTGTGTGTGTGTGTGTGTGCGATCTGAAGTTTTTTTTAAAAACAGTCTTCACAGATAAAGCCGTCGTCATCAAAAATGGCATTCTCTTCACCACAGCGCTCATGAAACCAGGCACTACAGTGCTCACAGCACACCCAGTCCTCAGTAGCCTTTGGGTCACTGGGGTCGCCGTAGAGGGAATGGCAAAGCTTGCGGGGATCTTTCTCTTCTCTGTGGTTCTTTTTACCTTGCTTTTTTCCCCTTGGTTGCTTTCCTTTCTGTTGCTTTTTTGTCTTTGTGTTTATATAGTCAAGGTGTTCCTGACTCGTAAGAAGGTAAGAAGGTGGCTCTTTTTCTCATGGGCCTCTCTCGTTTTGGTATTAAAATCAAGTCACTGAATGTGACTGATCTTACACCAGACTAAGAGAAAAGAAGATAATAAACAGAAATATGATATAACAAGAAATTATATGTTAATGTTTGTCTGATGTGATATGGGCCTTTATGCAATTGTGGGTGTTAATTATTATGCTTATTCACTCACCGTAGAGGTGGAAGGTTCTTTATCATCCCCTGCGTAGAAGAGGTTACTCTCTTCCTCTGGCACTGGCTCCATCATTACCTCCTCAAACACCATCTCCTCTGCAAGCTGATGATCATTCTGGAAGATGTAGAGTGGTTCCTCAGGTTGATCAGTGGGTGTCGGGACAGCAGGCAGGTCAGGAGGAGTCTGAGGTATGGCAGGTGTTCCAGGAAGAGACTGCGGTCTGGTGGGTGGGTGGGTCAGTAAGAGTGGGTGGCAAGGCATGCTCTGTAGTTTTGCTCGGGCCAAAAACACTATCTGGTAGTATCTTTTTATTTAGAGGGAACATCCCTGTCCCTCTAAAACCTGCCTGGGCATTGTCAATAGAAGCTGCCTTTTTCCAAGCTCGGCGGAAAACAGAGAAAAACTCTGCTTTTGGGAGCCTCTGGCCTGCCATTAGTCTGGTCCACGTCCTCCCCTCTTCAACCCAGTGATGCTTCAGACTTTTAAGGCTGAGGAATTTTAGATTATAAACATGACTGCTGTGCCCATCTGACCCTACTCCAAAAAAAGGTCAGCATTTATCCATCCATTCTCGGATAGCCTTACAGATATATTGTTTGGGCATCCAGAGAGCCACTCGGGACGCAGCCGCTTTGCTTTGAAAATGACCAAGGCGTGGGTGTATGTCCCTACGGCATTGAATGCTGCCAAACAGGTGGTCGTCTCTCCCTTTTCCGCAGCGGTGACCTCCATGCACGCTTGCCCAACTTGTCCAACCACTTTGGTGGAGAGGAATTGATCTTGGAGACCTGTCTCGTCACAGTTCCATATATGGGATGGGTTGTCCTCAATGCCGAGTTCTTTCAATAATTTTTCATATTGATGAAACCATTGGCTCACCACTTGCTCATTCAGTCCTGCAGCTGACAGCGCTTCTGGCTTCCTCATGCTTAGATTTCTATTGTGTTTCAAGAAGTTTTGGAACCAATAGTAACCTGCCTTGCCGTTTTTCTGTGAAAACCCACTGATGTTATTCTCTTTGGCATACTGGAAGGCTAGCTGCTGGACATCCTTTTTGGTAAGTGGGAACCCTCTCTCTGACATTAGCTTCAGCACTGTGGCAAGCTCTTTTTCAGCTGCTTCTGGGAGGATTGGTTTTCGACCAGAAGCATGGTCTATGCCAGCGATATTTCCACTGATATGCCAGTGATATGCCAGCTCAAACTCAAAACACACTGCCGTGTGTTTTGAGTTTGAGCTCCGTCAAGTTAATTCTGTCGTCTAATTTTTTATCTTAAAATCAATTTTATACACCATCATTTTCGTTTCTATAACGTGTGAATATATCCCCCATCGTATTCTACAACAAAAACAATCAGAGCGCCTTGTTATCACTAGTTTTATTTTGATTTCCCGAGTCCGCTATTAGCAAATAGCCCGCTAGCATCGCCAGCGTGGTTGCCGCTAATCTCGCTTACATTACTAATACTCTATTCACACACATTACCATTGTTTTACTCACTGTTACTTGCTTTAATGGCGGATGTGTGTCTACCTTTGAGTGCAGGTGAGGACACGTTCAAGCTGCATTCGGTGCAGCTCGAGCTGGAGGCCGTGGAGAAGCAGATCCGCGACCTGGTGGTGAGGCAGACCCAGCTGAGAGAGCAGAGAGCCGCGCTGGAATCATCCCAGGCTGACGCTCACAAGTCCGAGGTAAGTATACAGCCCGCTGCTAACTCTCCCACCACCTCTACTCCGTGTGTTTCTCTGCACAGGCCCGGTGCACCCAGGACGCGATCTTCCCAGATGTTCTTCACTCCGGCGCCGGGACACCACAGACCCTGGGTGCAGCCGCAGTGGAAGACGCGAGCCAGGCCCCGGGCGACGACCTCTCCCCCTCCGCCGCCTCCGGTCTTCGAGATCTCCACCCGGAACCACTTCGCTCCCCTCCGCGAGACGGAAAGCGACGCTGTGATCATCGGAGACTCCATCGTCCGGCACGTCCGTGCTACGTTAGCTGAAGGTAAAGTGCACACTCACTGTTTCCCTGGTGCTCGTGTTCTCGATGTTTCTGCCCAGATACCCGCGATCCTGAAGGGCGACGAGAGCACCGGAGCGGTCGTGCTTCACGCGGGGGGTTAACGACACCAAGCTGCGGCAGACGGAGACACTGAAGAGGGACTTCAGGAGCCTGATCGAGACGGTGCGCCGCACATCGCCCGCGACGACGATCATCGTGTCAGGACCGCTTCCCACGTATCGACGAGGACATGAAAGGTTCAGTAGACTTTTTGCTTTAAATGAATGGTTATTGTCATGGTGTAAAGAACAGAAACTGCTCTTTGTTAATAATTGGAATCTTTTCTGGGAGCGTCCTAGGCTTTTTCGCGCTGATGGCCTGCACCCCAGCAGAGTCGGAGCGGAACTCATGTCGGACAACATCTCCAGGACGCTACGCTCCATATGACTAGTAAGTCAAATCTCAAATAACTGCCCTGATGACTTGTGTTCTACCCGCTTAAATGATAGAAGTACTTGTGCTGTCCAATCTATAAAGACTGTGTCTGTTCCCCGAATAGTGAGGTCAAAATATAAATTTAATGCAGGATCTAGAAAAAATCTTATCGTGATTAAACCAGAAAAATGTAAAATAAATGAACAAAAACAATTTTTAAAGTTTGGGCTCCTAAACATTAGATCACTCTCACCCAAAGCAGTTATTGTAAATGAAATAATCACAGATAATCGTTTTGATGTACTCTGCTTGACTGAAACCTGGCTAAAACCTAATGATTATATTGGTCTAAATGAGTCTACTCCACCAAGCTACTGTTATAAGCATGAGCCCCGTCAGACTGGTCGTGGCGGCGGTGTTGCAACAATATATAGTGATATTCTCAATGTTACTCAGAAGACAGGATACAGGTTTAACTCATTCGAAATACTAATGCTTAATGTTACACTGTCAGATATGCAAAAGAAATCTATCGTATCTCTTGCTCTGGCTACTGTGTATAGACCACCAGGGCCATATACAGATTTCCTAAAAGAATTTGCAGATTTCCTCTCAGACCTATTGGTTACTGTTGATAAAGCGCTAATTGTCGGAGATTTTAACATTCACGTTGATAATACAAATGATGCATTAGGACTTGCGTTTACTGACCTAATAAACTCTTTTGGAGTCAAGCAAAACGTCACCGGGCCCACTCATCGTTTTAATCATACGCTAGATTTAATTATATCGCATGGAATTGATCTTACTGATATAGATATCGTACCTCAAAGTGATGATGTTACTGACCATTTCCTTGTATCGTGCATACTGCGTATTACTGATAATAACTATATCGCTCCGCGTTATCGTCTGGGCAGAACTATTGTTCCAGCCACCAAAGACAGATTCACAAATAACCTGCCTGATTTATCTCAACTGCTCTGTGTACCAATAAGTACACATGAACTAGACGAAATGACTAGCAACATGGGCACTATCTTCTCTAATACATTAGAAGCTGTTGCCCCCATACTGTATATTATACGGTGTAATATGACATGCTCAGCATTTTCTTTAACCCCAGTTATCACAATTCTCATTATTCCTTTTCCCCATTAGAAACAAGGTGCTATTCAGTCCTGTGTGATCCACTCTCAGTCTCGTCATTAGGGTGATATCAGGTAAATTGGGCCACTTTTTGGTT